AGCCCGCGATGATGGTGCCGCTGACCTCAATGGGCTCGCTGATGGCGGCGTCCGCCGAGGCTCGGCGCGGCCCAGCGTAGACTACGCAGAGGGCCCTGAGTAGGCCGACGCTGAAGCCGCTGCCCTCCGCGGCCTGGCGCAGAAGGTCGTGGTCGATCCGCTCGTAGAACTTGCTGATGTCGAAGTAGACGGAGGCTGCCTCGAACCCGAGCTGGCGGGCGAGCGCGAGCCCCAGGTTGTGGAGGTAGGCCGCCCTGTCACAGCTGGTGTTCGCGTCCTTGCCCCAGACCTCGGGGAGCGGGTGGTCCGCCTCCCACTTGGCGCAGTAGCGGCGGCGCACCCTGCTCCAGATGCGCATCCACATGTTCATGAGGCCGATCGGGCGGCGGCCTCCGTCTGGCTTCCCCAGGAAGACAATCACCGTGGTGAAGAGGGCTGTGGGCTGCGGCTGCTGCTCCCAAGCCGTGAGCACCTCTGCCATCCTCTCGGCGAAGGGCCTGCCCAGGGAGAGGACCAGCCGCGGGTGGAACGCATCCCAGCCCAGAGCGGTCTGCTTCGGGAACGACTTCGCCGCCTCGAGGATGTCGTCCGCCGTGATCGAGGGCAGCTCCATGGAGCAGATCCAGTCGGCTGGTCTGGTCTTGTGCTGCCCGTCGGCTCCTTTCCATAGGGCCTTCCACTCTATGAGGATCTGGCCCAGGGCTTGCTGGCCAACAACAGGGAGCGGCAGGCTGTCGGGGCAGTGCGCGATGACCGAGTCCAGCACCTGGTCACGGTCCTTTATGACAGCGTGGGCTCCTTTCGCCCCCTTCGCCAAGGCCTGGTCCACGAAGTCCTTCCAGCGCTGCCTGGCCGCCTTGGCGTCTTCTTTGCAGTGTCTCGCCGTCGTGCTGTCGATGGCCTGCAGGAAGGCCTGCCCTTGCTCAGAGGGCTCCTGGATCACTTCGATCAGCGAGTCAAGCTTCGCGCCTTCGAACATGGTGCAGCCCGCCTGCTCGAACTTGGGCCCCAAGCTCTTGGCCACCTGCACCAGGTGCTTCATGTAGCCCACGTACCCCACAGGGGGTGCACAGACCGCAGCAGCCGCACTTAGCTGCCTGGCGATCCTCCCGAGGCAGAGCCAGCACTTGGTGAGGGGGCTGAGCTTCCTGACAGCCTCCGTGCGCTGCAGGTCCGCCAGTTTCTTCCTGACGGTGCGGGGTCCTTTGGCCCTGCCCTGGTACCTCTCACCCTCGGAGATGTCGAACTGGTCGATCAGGTGGAGCTCCGCGGCCTCGAAGAACTCCTTGATCGCCGCGTCGGGCGTGCCGTCGCTGTCGGTGAGGGGGGCTGACCATCTGATCTGGGTCGCCGCCTGCAGGGATTTCTCGCGCTGCTCAGCCGAGACCTCCGAGCCCACGTCAAAGAACCTGGGGGTCTTGAGGACCCAGATCATGGCGTTGCTGCCCAGCTCGCTGAACGTGAGCCGCACTGGCGCGTGCGGGTGCAGGGTTGTGGGCTTGATGACCTCCACCTTCGGGCTGAGGCCAGCGAGCGCCGTGGAGATCACGAAGAAGTCGTAGATCTGGTCGCCGCAGGTGAAGGTCGTGGGCGCTACCACCACTCCGCCCACAGCCCGTGGCCACCAAGAAGCGGCGAGGACGCTGGGGTCCATATTCCAGCCGGCCCCCACTGTGAACGGCTCGTGGAGGCTGAGCAGGAACTCCTGGAGGTCCGACAGCAGCTCCAGGTTGTGGCCTGCCATCCTGGTCGAGTGCACGAGGTAGGCGCTGACCACCGTGGCCACCAGATCGCCAAAGGCCACCCGTCGGGCCAGGATGCGGGCACTGTGCTGGTGCCAGTCGTGGTCGATCGCCGCCGCGCCCCTGGTCGTTGACGCCAGCACCCCGGCTCCCGCCGAGACCGCCTGCGCCGCCTGCCCCGTGCTGTGGACGCTGCCAAAGGCGGCGCTGAAGCCGTTGCGCCTGGCCCAGCTGCAGGCGTCAGTCACCTTCTGGCTGGAGGTGAACCGCGTCTCCTGCACCAGGATGACGTCGTCGCCTCCTCCATCGTCCTGGATCCGCTCCAGCTCCACCTGCGTCGCTGACCAGGTCGAGCCGTTCAGCGTGACGAAGCTGGCTCGCTTCGCTCCCGCAGGCCTGATCAGCTTGGCCAGCTGAAGGGGCTTTGCCTGCGGTCGCCCAGGCTGGGGCTGGGCCGCAGGCTTCGCGGCTGCCGCGGCGGCCGCGCGGCCGCAAGGCGGGCGGCTGCACGCCGCCCTGGGGCTCCGAACCTCAGGGGGTCTCACGCCCTCGCCCGTAGCCTCGTCAACTTGAATTGGGCACCCACGATTCCTTATGGACCCCTGGCTGGGCTGAGGACTGCCAGTCCTTCGGTCGGGCCCTGCCGAGTCCGCCGCAGCGCTCGGCTCTGTCCTGCTGCTGAGCGCCTCGAAGGCGTCGGTCTGCTCGCTGGCCGCCAGGTAGGCGTGCAGGCCGCCGCTCGGCGCCGCCGCCACCACGGAGCGGCTGGGCGCCGCCGCCTCCGCCTCCTCAGCCCCTGCTGGGGCGGGCGGCGCCGCGCTGTCGGGGCCGCCGCCTGGCAGCAGGGTGCTACCCGCGGGCCTGGCCACTGCCAGCAGCAGAGCCAGCAGCAGGTGGAGGGGCCGCCGCAGCGGCCTTCTGGTCGGCAGCGCGCTGGCGGGCCGCCTCGCCTGCCGCTCGGCTCTCCACGGCGGCCGCTGGGGGGGGCCCAGCTCCTGGCGCAGCGCCCGCGGCGGGGGCGGCGGCAGCAGCAGGGGCGGCCGCCTGTCCTGCGGGCTGCGGCGGGGCCGCCGCGCCCTGCTCGGGGGTGCCAGGGGCCGCGGCTGCTGCAGGCCCCTCCTCGGTGCGCTTGCGCTTCTTGGCCACCTCCTCCTCGATCTGGCGCTTGATGCGCTGCTGGTGCTCCTGGCAGTTGCGCTCGAACGTAGCCTGCGCGCCCTGCATGATCTGGAGCCCCTCCTCGCAGAGGCGCCTGAGGGTGGCCTGCGCCTCCTCCTCCAGCTCCGCGAAGTTGTCGAACGACTCCGCGTCGAAGTTGAAGGTGAGCTGCCTCGCGCCGTCGGGCTGGGCGCCCACGACGCCAGCCGCCTGGGCACGCTGGCGCAGGAGGGCGTTCTCCTCCCCCTTGGCCTCCGCGAGGTTGACCGCAGCCTCGTCACGCCAGCCGCGGCACTCAGCGAGGTGGTCCTCCGCCGCCACGAGCGCGTCCGCCGCCTCGTCGAGCTGGCGCTGGAGGTTGATCCGCTTCGCCGTGGCCGACTGCAGCCGCTGCTCGAGCGGCTTCGGCGCTGGGGCGACCGCGGGCGCGACGCAGCCCCGCGCGTCACGGACCGCCTCCTGCAGCCTGGCCGCGATGGCGGGGTCCCCACAGGCGAGGAGCGCGTCGAGCTCGCTCTCGGGCGGGGTCGACCAGGGGGCCTTCGGGAAGGCGCCTCCGCCACGGCCGCCCGCGCCACCGCCGCCGCCGCCACGGGAGGCTGCACCGCGGCCCTTGCCGCCCTTGCCGCCCTTGGCGCCATCCTTCGGCGGGCCTCCGCCGCCGCCACCTCGATGTGCGAGTTGGGAGCCGCCGCCGCCGCCGTCCGCCCAGACCCCGCCACGGGGCGAAGGCTTCGCGGGCGCCAGCTCCAGCCCGATCCCGCACAGCCAGCACTTCGCGTCCTTGCGGAAGTTCCAGCGGTAGCGGCAGCCCGTGCACACGACAAAGCCAGGCTCGGCCTTGGGCCCCATCGCTGGGACGGGCGGGCGCGCTGCTCAGCCGCGGGCGTGCAGCAGGCAGGGGCCGACGGGGGCGGACCCGCCGACCCAGAAGAAGTCGTGACCCGAAGGTCCTGGAGGGTGCTGCTCAGGCAGCTCTCACTTGTTGGAAAGGAAGGTGGCCTCAAAGCGGAACCTCCCTCGCGCTCAGAAGTCGCCCCTGAAGACTCGCGGTCGTCGGGACGGTTCATTGCCTTGAGCCAAAATGGCTACGGAAGGCGGGGGGCACTTGGATGAGGAAGCCTTCGATAAGGAATCCAGGGTCTTGAAGCCAGTGGAACTCCTATCGTGGATTGGCCATGGATATCACCGCCGCCCTCATCAGACAAGGAACCCTCCAGGGTCTGAAGCCTCCGGGGCACGTTCCTTGACGAACGCCCCCACCGCACGCGGGCACCGCTGATCTGAGGGACATCGACGGGGGAGGACCAGCTCAGCTCGGGGGCGGGGGAACATCAGGCGTGAATCGGTGATACATCGCCGGTAGATCGGCGATTGGCCCCAGATTGCGAAACTGCAAATTCCTGGGCGGGGTGGGCTATCGCGGGCCCATGTCGGTGATCAATGGGCGATTGGAGGTCGCTGCATGCTCCACCTGAGCAAATCCTCCCCTCGCGTTGCCCCTTGGCTGTCAAGCCATAACACGGCTCTCCGGCGGCGGTTCGGGACGACCCGGGCAGTCTCGGAACGCTCTCGGCGAGGCGCGGCCGCTGGGAAGCATCCCGAGGCTGGAAAGCCGCGGGGAACCGACGAAATCGTCAGAACACCTCGAGCCTCGAAACTGCCCTCCTCGGACCTTCCACTCCGTGCCCCTGATGATCTTTCAGAGCTCCGAATCATCAGGGGTAAATCGGGTCAGGGCTAACCGGGGGTCCTTTCTCGGGAATCCAAACCCGAGTTACCCCGGATCCGAGTTATCCCGGATAACTCGGGCGCCCAAATCTTACGGGGTCGACCCGCGAGCGCGACCCGACTGTATCGAGGCGCCCCCCCCTCTTGGGAATATTCGGGGGAGGAATAGAAAAGAGCAGGAGAGGGAGGAGAAGAAGGACGAGGAGGAGAAGGAGTAGGAGTAGGACACCGAGGAAGATACTGCTGTAGCCATGGCGCTCAAGTTCGCTCAACGTAAACATGAGGAGGAAGAAGAGGAGGCCTCTTGCGACCCTCTTGGGGCCTCCTGGCCCTGCGGCCCCCATGCGCTCGCCGCCACGGGCGCCGCTCCTGCTGGTCGTCGATCCCATCCGGCGGCTCCGGCAACGCCTCCCCAGCGACCAGGACGATACGGTCGCCGACCTGGCGCGGCGGCGCGAAGCGCAGGCATCGTCGTGGTCGTCTGAGTCCTCATAGTCGACGTCGTCGACGCTGCTGGCGTGGTCGTCGCCGTCGCCGTGGTGGTGGTGGTGGTGGTGGTGGTGGTGGTGGTGGTGGTGGTGGTAGTGATGGTGGTCGTCGTCATCGTCAATCAATCACCAATCCGACGAAGGCGATCACAATAACGGATCAATCACGCATCATCCTTGGAGCAGGGACCAACCGTCCCGGCACTCCTATAGGCCTACCACGACATGTTCTCAGAACAAAAAAAAAGTCGAATAACGACAACAGTGATCTTAGAATATACTGCCGATGTGTTGAACCAAAACGGCCTCAACCAGAATGTTGAATATGTTTTGGGAAACCACAAAAGATGATTAGAACATTCCTTGGTGGGCCTATGGGCAAGCTGGGACGCTGGAATCCTCTCTAGTGGCCCTACGGTTTCCCCATCCCCTGCTCCATGCTCTCTACCTCCCCGGCAATCTCCCCCCCCCCCCCCAGTGCCCTTCCACCTCCGCTCCGCCGCCTCCCCCTTCCTCTCCCTCCTCCTCCTTCCTCCTCCTCCTCCTCTCCTCCTCCTCTTTCTTCCTCCCTCTCCTGCTCCTCCTCCTCCTGCTCCTCCTCCTCCTCCTCCCTCCTCCTCCTCCTCCTCCTGCTCCTCCTCCTCCTCCTCCTCCTCCTCCTCTCCTTCTCTCTCCTCCCTTTCACTCTCCCTCCCTCTCCCTCTCCCTCTCCCTCTCCTCATCCTCCTCTTTCTCCTACTCCTCGCTCGCTCGCTCGCTCGCTCGAGAAGGGCCGTGCTAACTTAGCCCGTGCCAGGGATGAATGAGAAAAGTAGACGCATGCAAAGATCCATAGCGACAAGGGTGGGGGAGAAGAAGCCCCCAGGAGCTCAGCCTGGCATCCCCTCACGGGCAGAGGAGAGCTCCTCCTCCTCCTCCTCCTCCTCCTCTCTCCTCCTCCTCCTCCTCTTCCTTCCTCTCCTCCTCCTCCTCCTCCTCCTCCTCCTTCCTCTCCTCCTCCTCCTCCCCTCCTCCTCCTCCTCCCCTGCTCCCTCCTCGTCTCCTCCTCCTCCTCCTCCCTCCTCCTCCTCCCCTCCTCACCCTCACCCTCCTCCTTCTTCTCCTACTCCCCTTACCCCTCCTCCTCCCCCTCCTCCTCCCCCTCCTCCTCCTCCTCCTCCTCCTTGCTCCTCCTCCTCCTCCGCGTCTCCTCTGCGACGCGTCAGCGGCCAGGCCCGCCTCCAGCAGAGGAGGGGTGGAGCGGAGGACGAGTGGAGGGAGGGGGCGCCAAGGGAAACCACTGGTACATCTCAAAAGTGAACCGAAGGCTGTCAAGTGCGACTTGCGCTAATTCATTGTTTCCATGCCGTGCTACGTGAGTATGCCTGTGTGCGGGCAGTGCGCAACGCGTTACTGCACATGCCCGAGTAAGATCGAGGCGTGCGCGATTGATGATGGTCTGAACGAATGGAGTATATTTCAAGTCAGGCTACTAAGTTAAGTCCTTGCGAGTCCATGCATTGAGAGCGAGCGGCATCAAGACTCAAGTAGAGGTGACAGGCGACGCCAAACAATGAAGTATCGAACTGAATGGCAAGATTCTGACCGAGTGGAAGTGTCGCAATATGCTGCCTGAAGCTTCAAGCGGGTGCGAGACCAATAAGTTCTCAGCGGTTTTTGGGCGGCTGTGTTGTTGCGTGTCGTTGAGATTCCTTCGAGGCCGTCGCACACCTGAAAGAATAACTACCTGGACACGTTCGATCCGAGGTCTTCACGCTTTCAACACGGGCCCCAAGACTCCCCAAAAACGGATAATTACGCTACAACCGCTTTGTCATCCAAAGTCGTTCCGTGACGCACGTGCCTCCGCCGCGTCTTTGTTTGTTCACGACGCGCCCAACGAGGACCCTAAGACTGCCCAAGAGGCCTCCAAGAGGTCCCCCAGGACAGTCCGAGGAGGCCCAAAGCCGCCGACCCCTTGGGGTCACGGCGCGTGAGATGCTTCCCCCTCCCCCAACCCCTCCCCCCGGAGCCCGGCCCTGCCGGCTTGGAGGGGGTGAGAGGGGGGGGGGAGAGGGGGGGGGGGGGGCAAAGGTGTCGGCCGCGCCCTTGGAGCCTCAGGGGCCCCCCAAAACGGGCCAAGAGTGCCCCCAAAGGCCCCCCGGACGGTCCAAGAGGGCTGTTACGAGTCGCCGAAAGATTGCTCCAAGACGCCCAAGATCGCCTCCAGACGGTCCCCAAGACGTCCCAAGAAGCCACCAAGAGGCGTCCCCTGAGGCCCTCCAGAAGCCCAAACCGTCCCGCTCCCTAGGGAAAACGTAGATTGTTAGCACATTCGCCTCTTGGGCTTTCACGAGGCCCACAACGGCCCAAGAAGCCTTCAAGTAAGATCGACCCAAGATAACCCAAGAGACCTCCAAGAGGGCTCCAAGACGGCCCTAGAGGGCCCCAAGACAGCCCCAGAAGCTTCCAAAACGACCAAGGAGCGATCTGAAGGGCCTCCGAGGCCGTGAAGGACCGTTGGGAAGCGGGAAAAGCGAGAACGCCCAAGTCCTCCGCAAACCCTAGGATATGCATGAATGTTGCCTCCCATGGCCCTCTTGCGGAGCCTCTTTGAGGCAGTCCTGGAGCGTGCCTGGACTGAGCATGGCCTCCTCCTCCGAGCACGAGGTGGCCAAGGAGGGACGCCACGGGGCGGGCCTTCACCCCCAGCGCGGCCGCCTGCCCCTCGGGCTCCACGCTCACGACCCTCGCGCCCTCAAGCCTGGGGCGGGGGGCGGGGACGACCGACAAGCGAGCTGGGCGAAGAGGCGCGGCGAACGAGTCTGGAGCAGGGCTGAACCTAAACGGTGTTTTCCGTTTTCGCTTTGTTTTCGCTTTCCCTCGCTCTTGTCTCGACTCCGCCTGTACCGCAAAACGAGGTCGAAACGAGAACGGCCCACGAAATCGCCAAAAACACCGTTTAGGTCCAGCCCTGGTCTGGAGCCCCGGCGTCCCTGGCGAATGGCTGCCCGATCGGTGCTTGCACCGAGGGGTCCCTGGCTGCTTGGACTCCTGTGGCCAGCTCCAGGAACCCTGGATCCAAAAAGGCTGTCGTCTCTTGAAGGGTGATTTTTCCGCCAACGGGGCCGCCCCAATCTTACTTCCGCCGCCTCCCGCTGGCCTCCCGGCGGGTAAGAGGTGCCAACTCATCTCAATCCCTCGAAGGCGAGGCTCTTTCTGGAGCGCGCTATTTGGCTTTGATTCTCATCGATCCACGTTGCTTCCCCATCCCAGCTGTCCTAATCTGCCGCGCCCGCCGCGCAGGCTGCAGACCCGAGTGGCTTGGCTTCCAATTGGTCGGAACGGCTTCCCGCGCGTTCCACGGTGGCTGCCTAGTGCAAGGCGGGGACTTATTCGTATCCATCGCCTGGGGAATCCACGTCCTGCGACCTCAGGAGGCGGCGGGTATGGATATAGTTTGGCCCCAGGGAGCCCGAAACTATCCACACACAGACAGACACACCGTCTGCCGAGGCCCCCGATGATCGATCCTCCAGGCGGTGGTTCTGGATAAATTCCCGCCTCAGACTCAGATCCCCGTTCTCACCGTCTAGCAATGGATCAGGAGCGCCCACGGCGACGAAGATCCGAAGAACTGGCACCCACCCGTAAGGCACAATGAGGCACTCTCATCGGCGACGCGCTGAAAATCTGGCACCCTGCCTGCTGCACCGTAGGCGTGGGGCATCAAGAGCGCCCACAGTGACGACGAGCCGAAGACCTGGCACCCGTGCACGCATCTCGGATTCTTTCGAGCACGAGTAAGACGCCCTAGTGGGAACATTGTTTAGAGAACCTGCTGCACGAATGATCTGGTAGGGCTCCACGCGCTGGCATCATTCACCTGATTAGGGAAATATTGAAGTGGGAATTCGCCAGCCCAACGGGCCAGAGGCGTGCTAAGATCTCCAGTAACAGGTTAATAGCAATATTTTTAAGTCGCGCGCGCGTGGCGGCCCCTGGGGACCCTTGGATGAAAACTACCCCGGGCGATGCCCGGCCGATGCCCGGCCGACTCCCCCGGGGTGCTCAAGGAGTGCGCCAAGAGGGCGCCGGGACGTCCCCTACACGGCCCAAGAGGCGCCGAGTCGCCCGAAGATCGTTCCTAGACGTTCAAGATGGTCTCCAGATGGCCCAAGAGGCTATGAAAAAAGCCCCGAGAGAGCCTCAAGAGGCTCTCCAAGAGGGCCCAAACAAGGAAGCATCGCCCCATTCCCTTCGAACAACATACGTTTTTCGCATGTACGACGTTTCTTGTCTTTTCGGTTTTCCAACTCCCAGACGGCCCAAGAGGCCCCCAAGACCGCCCCAAGACGGCCCAAGAAGCTTCCAAGAGGGCCCTAAGACAGTCCAAGATGGCCCCAAGACAGCCCAAGAGGCGCCCAAGATGGCCCAAGAGGGCCCCGAAACGGCCCCAAGAGAGGCCCACGATGGGGACCAGGATAAGGAAAGTCCAGCCTTCAGCCCCAAGAGGCCCCCAAGAGGCCCCAAGAGGCCCGCAAGAGGCCCCAAAGGGCCCCCGAGAGGAACCCCAAGAAGCCAAGAGGCCCCAAGGCCCCAACACGGCCCCCAAGAGGCCTCAAAACTGCCTCCCAGAGACCCCAGGAAGCCCCAACACGGCCCCCAAGCGGCGAGGCAACATGGGCCGGTGGAATGAGCGAAGCGCTTTAAAACATGCTGGCGATGACGAGGACGGAGTCAAACGCGAGGAAGCCGGGGGGTGAGGATGAGAATCATGAGAAACACGAGGGAGAGGAGAGGAAGAAGGAGACGATTTGAATAACAATGTTGCGGATGAAGGGGGATCGTACATATGGATGAGACGGAGGAAGAGGACGCATGATAAAAACGATGAGCACAGAAGAAATTACTGTGCGAACATCCGAGGCTGCGCAAACCCGGAAAATTATCAAACCGATGCTGATAACTCCCAGATGAACAAAAGACACGGGCTGACGAGTGTGAAGAAACCCTATGGTGTGTTCACCGCTCTCGACCTTCAACACTCGCCAGACGCATGCGAGCGCAGAGAAGCGGGGAGGGGAGGTGAGGGCCCAACTTCGGCTCACCCTCGAGAATCCGAGTGTGTTGCGCCATTCCAGCGCTGCTGCCAGCCTCTGCCAATTCCCAGCCTTCTTTTCCAGCTAGCACCCGTGGCAGCAAAGCTGCGACCCCATCCGGCGAGTGGCCTCCGCTCCCATCACCGCCTTCCCCACTGCCTCCTTGCCTCCACATTACCTTCCCTGACCCCGTGTCGTCCCCCTCACCTCCTTACCCAGCCTCCACATCCACCAGCATACTCCTCCGCTGTCCATCTCCCCGTTCCTCCCTCCCTCCCTCTCCCCCATTCGGCCCATTCCCCCGCCTCCCTGTTCTCTCCCTCCTGCCTGCACTTACTCTCCCTCCATTCCCCCCCAGCTCGTGCCTTCCCATGCTCCCGCGACTCCCTGCCGCCCTGGCACCCCTGGGCCAAGGAGGAGGCGAAGGAGGAGGATCAGCAGCAGCAAGACCAGTAGCAGGACAGGGTCCTCCTGCTGCACCTGTTACTCCTCACCCTCCTCACATCCTCCAGCACCCCTCCGCTGCCCCCTCATCCGCTGCCTCCTTCTCCTCCGCGTCCTCAGCATCCTTGCCCTCCTCATCCTTCTCCTATTATGACAACCCTCCCGTCTTCGCCTCCGCCTTCGCCTCCGCCTCTGCCATCGCCTCCGCCTCCGCCTCCGCAGCCCTTTCCTTCTCCTTCTCCTTATAATTATCCTCCTCCTCCTCTTCCCTTTTGTATAGTTTCTCCTCGTCCGGCCTCTCTCCCGCCTCGGCCTCCCCGCCCACCCACTCCCCGCCCTGACCCCGACGACTCCGACTCCAGCTCTGGCCCGGACATCCACGACTCTGACCATCCCGACGACGACCACCCCGACGACGACGACGGCGGCGGCGGCGGCGGCGGTGGCGGAAGCGGCGGCGGTGGCGGCGGCAGCGGCCACACGAGGACGACGACGGTGGCGGCGACGCCGCCTGAAGCCCAGGCCGCCCTCCTCGAAGCAAGCGTCGAACGCGTGCGGCCCCCGCGCCTCGAGAACGCCCTCGCGCCGGCGGGGGGGACCCGTGGAGGGGGGCGGGCCCGGGGGGGGCGGCGGCGGCAGGGCAGCGGGCCGCAGGGAGCGGTGGTCCTCAGAGCGTGCGCAGCAGCGCCAACGCGTGCCTGCCAGCCGGGGGGCCCGCAATACGACGCAGGCGGTGTGGTCAGGGCCAGCGCAGGCTGCGTCCTGCCGGTGGAGCTGAGCGAGGGAAGCACACACACACACACACGCACACAGTACGCACACACGCACACACACACACACGCGCACACACACATTGGGCTAACACGAGTCCTGAGGATCATCGGGAGGAGGCAGTGCGGCCCCGCCTCCCCAGCAGAGCGCCAGGGAGGAAGATGATCAGCGCAACGTACCACGTGCATGGGGTGACGCTCGGCGAAGGAGAGGCGTGGCGCGGGCGCGCGGCTGCGGACGCTGTGGACTTCGTCTGGAACGTGGCCCAGGCCCGGGTAAACATGGATGGGGAGGAGGAGGAGGAGGAGGAGGAGGAGGAGGAGGAGGAGGAGGAGGAGGACGACGACCAAACCGAGGAAAAGACGAGAAACAGAGAGAACGAAGGAGAAAACCAACAAAGAGAGAGAGAGAGAGAGAGAGGGAAAGAGAGAGAGAGAGAGCGAGGCACTTGCGCAAGAGAAGATCGCAGATCTCGAAACGACGGATGGACAGGGAAAACAATGGAGCGTTTGCGAGAACTGGCAGGGGAAGATTATGCAATGAGAAAGGGCGGAGGGGTAAGATGGACGAGGAAGGATGAGGACGTGGAACGGGGACGAGGGGGAAAAGGGTAAGAATCAGGCGGGATTCGAAGGCGGAGCAACAGCAGGAAGAAAATGAGAGGGACAAGGGGGATCACGCTGGACTGCGTGATGACGAGGACAAGGAGGAAAGGGTGAGGAGGGGCAGGAGCGACATGAGTAGCAGGAGAGCACGACGCGTATGATGATAATGAGGGGGAGACGTGAAGGGCCGAGCGCAAGGTTCAAGTCTCGGATCCTGACCTTCACCACGGGCGGAAAAAAACGAAATTAGCATAGGAAGAAGAAAGCAGAGGGGGGAACCCCGCAGCAAACTCGAGCGAGAACGTTCGACATCGCACAACATCTCCAGCATCCATGCGCCCCTTCTCCCTTTGTTTGAATGATGGAATGGAGAGGACGACTAGGACGAGAAGGATAATACCTCCATGTGGCGTGGTAAGCAATACCTTTGCCGCGGGTGCAAGAAAGACGTGCCAATCTCCGCCCGCCAAGACCAAGACGTGCCTGTTCTTGCCGCACTCAGACTGCAAGAGCATGTTCTGCAAGCAGGGTTGTCTTGGCAGTGCGCCACGCTGTGCGGGGCTGGGTGGACTTGGGTCGCCCCCTGAACTGCTGGCGGGCGCTACAACATTGAAACAGAAACCATTCGCGACCTGTCCGCGACCTCTGGAGGTCTGGCGCTGCGCTGCGCCGAGACGACGTCGGCGACGACGCCGACGACGACGACGCCGACGCCGACGACAACGTCGAGGACGATGTCGTCGGCGTCCGTTGGCGTGCCCGTGCGACGTCGACCACGGCATCGACGCTGACAACTTCGACGGCGACGACATCCACGACTGGGGAAACCAAAGGTACCGATACCGCAACTTCCCAGACCTCTCCCGGGGTGCATTCTGACGAGAATTTCGAAGCGGATGCAGCCGTGGCTACGAGGGCCTCGCAGGAGGCTGGAGAAGACGAAACGATGCCAGGGTAGCGGTATTGGTACATTCTCCTCCCCTGAGCTTCGACGGCGACGACAAACACGGCGACATCGTCATCGTCGACGTCGACGTCGGTGAAGGCACCCTGCAGCCCTCTGGCGCAAGGGTGCGGCGCGTCCTGCGCGAGCGCGGAGGCGCTCTGCTGCAGCTCGGCCGCCTTCCTGGCGGCCTCCTGCGGTCATGGGGACCGCGCGTATGTACACTAAGGTATCTGGTCCCTGTCCGATGGGGCTTCGCAGAAACATCACAGAACAACGTAACGTGTATAATGTTCTGGCCGCTTCCCAGGCGACAGGTGTCTGTGAACAACTATACACTGCGTCCGGGCCCCCATTTGCCCCCAGGCAGTGGTGGACACACACATCGCAGTGTAGTGGATATGGCGGGTTCCAGCAACCCAGAACCCCAAACATGTTGTCATCTCTTCGGGGCGCATCTTGCACGTCCTCCCGCTTCCGCCGGCTTCCGCTGGCGGAGGCGGCCTCGGTCTACTTCCGCCGCCTCTCGCCGCCTGCCGTCCAGGAAGACAAGGGCAACCCCTTCGATCCTCCAAGGCGAGGCCCATGCTCACATCTCCCCTGTTCTCGGGAGCGGCCAGGAGGGGGGTGTCCAAGAGGGGGGGGTGCAAATCATGACCGGCGGCATGTGCGCGGCCCAGCGGGGGGGCCAGGGACGCAATGAAACAAGAAGAGGCGCCATGAGATCTGGGGAGACATCATGGCCCCCGCCATGATATCCACCCCCCCCCCCGTAGTCATCACCCCCCTCTTTTCCGCCCCCGATGCTCCTGCCCCCGAGGTCAACCGCGGGGGCAGTCCTCCTCGCCCTCCGCTGCTGCTCCCAACTGGCACGTAGGATCGGTGGGCACCGAGGCGGCAAAAGTCTTCGGTTTCGGGTCCGGGCTCCGGGTCCTCCAGCATTTCCATGGGCCCCCCAGGAGTCCTCCAGCCTCAGGAAACGTTCCCTTAGACCTTAGACGAAGCCAAGACGCAGATGACATCGGGCGAGGACAAATCGAGAACCTCTGAGATCCGGTGGCTCTGGAAGATGCATCGGGCGTCGCGGCCGTCTCAGAGCGTTCCAGAACGCTCTGAAAGCGTGCCGGGACGCTCTGGCACGGATTTGTCTCGATTCGAAGCCTGCCTGACTCGCCTCGCCGAGAGCGTTCCCAGGGTGCCCTGGTCGTCCCGAAAGGCCGCCGGAGAGACCCGGAGGTTGACCCGGAAGCCGAACTCGGCGGCGCGCCGGAGAGGGGGCAAGCCTTCTCGCAAGGCGGCGCGGCTTCGGAGGACGCTTGGCCGGATGACTGCGAAAGCTTCCGAGGAGGCCGGGGGCCTTCCTTCCGAGCCTCTTGGATCCGCGCCCGGGCCCCCCTGGCGGCGCCTACGGCGCCTCCCCTGGCGCGCTCCGCGCGCCAGGGAGGGGGGCCAGCGCGGATCCAGGAAGTCCGCGCGGAGCGCGAAAGTTTATGTTTATGTAGCGTGAGATGGCCTGTCCCCTCTCACCGTCCCCCCCCTGGGCGCGCCGCCGACGAGAGGGGGCCCCGGGCAAGAGTGGACCTCCGGTGTGCGCATCTCTGCGGGGTGGCCGCGGGGAGGCCCGATCCGGGCGCGCAGGCCCGTGCTTCGGGGGGGGGGGGCCTCGTGGACCCACAAGCGGCGAGGGGCCACTCTTGCGAATAGCCGGTGCTCCTGCCGCTCCGCCCGCTCGGCAGCTTTGGTCGAGCCCGCGTGGGCTCTCGCCCTCCACGTTTTGGATCAAGGCCTCGTCGGCACCGCCGCCGTTTTGAGGCACTTCAGGTGGCCCTGCCAAGCGTTGGTGACAAGATGGCGTCCGCACATCGGCTGTCAACTTCGTCCTCCCTATCATTGGCCCCAAGCTCTCAGCCGCACTCTCTTCCACCTCTGCCCATTCTTCTCGTCCCCGTAAGAGTCAGAGGCTGGCAAAGCAAGTGTGGACAGATCTGAACTACCATGAGAGGGACCCGCCCAGGCTGGGCTGTCAGGCCCTCCTGAGCAGCATCCTGAGCACTTTGCTGCAGCGAGGTGGCCGTCTCCGATGCCTTCTTGGCAGCCTCTTTTGCGGCCTCCCATCCGCTGGCAACGCGGGAGCCTCTGCTGCGCACGCGAAGCGTTCTGGGGCTATGCCTGCGCAGAGTACGCAAGGGACGCACGAACTGCCACGAACTGCCACCCTCGCAACCGAGTCGCCCTCCGACTCGCTTGCGCTGACCTCTCTGCAACCCTCACGATCTCGCGGCGCAGAATCCGCCGCCGTGGCGGCGGCAAGCTGGGGTATAATGGGGGCAAGCCATCTGGGGCAAGGACTTCGACTTATTCTGGCGAAGGCCATGTGCAGTTTAGAATACCGTGTTGTGGCGCCGCTTTCGGTGGAGCTCCATATGGGGCCACGACCAGCGTGAGGGGTGCGCCAAAGTGGGGCGGCGCCGCCGTGCAGGCTCCGCCACTGGGGCCTTCGGTGGAACTCCCTGTGGGGCCGCGAACCGTGTGAGTGGTGCGCCAACATGTGGCGGCGCCGCCATGTGGACCCTGCTGCTGGGGCCTTGGGTGGAGCTCCCCATGGGGCCACGAACCGTGTAAGGGGTGCACCAGAATGGGGCGGCGCCGCCATGTGGACCTTGCCGCTGGGGCCTTCGATGGAACCCCCTTCTGGGGCCACGAACCGTGTGAGGGGTGCGCCAAACTAGTGCGGCGCCGCCATGTGGACCCTGCTTCTGGGGCCTTCGGTGGAGCTCCCTATGGGCCACGAACCGTGTAAAGTGTGCGGCAAAGTGGGGCGGCGCCGCCATGTGGACCCTGCTGCTGGGGCCTTGGGTGGAGCTCCCTGTGGGGCCAAGAACCGTGTAAAGGGTGCGCCACACTTGGGGCGGCGCCACGATGCGGACCCTGCCGCTGGGGCCTTCGGTGGAGCTCCCTCATGGGGCCACGAACCGTGTCAAGGATGCACCAAAAAGAGGCGGCGCCGCCATGTGGACCCTGCCGCTGGGGCCTTCGGTGGAGCTCCCTATGGGGCCACGAGCCGTGTAAAGGGTGCGCCAAACTGCGGCGGCGCCGTCATGTGGACCCTGCTACTTGGGCTTTTGGTGGAGCTCCCCATGGGGCCACGATCCGTGTCAGGGGTGCACCAAAATGGGGCGCCGCCGCCATGTGGACCCTGCCGCTGGGGCCTTCGGTGGAGCTCCCTGCGGGGCCACGAAGCGTTGCACTGTGTGCGCCGAAACACAGACATGCGGAGGGCAGGGGCAGGGATGGGAGGAGGGAGGAGCAGAAGAGAAGGGGGCAGCGGGAGGAGGAGGAGTGATCGCGGGGACCGTCTCTTCAAAACAAAGGCCCAACACCACAGGATGGTTGGGAAATACATCCTTGGAGTGCTGTTGAGCAGATTAGCAGCGGGAGCAGTGGGAGCAGGAAGAGTATAGGAGAGGGCACATCGCACCTATGCACAGTCCGCAACAGCGGCACGTCCTATCGCAATTGCCATCAGACCCTAACGCGCTCCAGCTGGCCTCAAGGAGCTACAAGAAACAATGGGAATCCCAGGGCTTCCAGGCTTGGAGGCCCCTTTAGAATGTAGAAGGCCCCGGGAGGAACCAAGAGAATTCAAAAGGGCATCGTTCACCTGGCCTACTGCATCAGAGGATGATCCGGACCGAAAGACAAATGGGGAGAACGATGGGGGGAAAAGCAAAGAGAAAGAGAGGAGCCGGTTCCGTGGGAGCCACCCGGCCTATCCATGCTGTTGTGGTGCTGCGCATGTGCCCCACTCGTTTAGGGAATCCGTGCAACCACACTGTAACGAAGCGCGGCGGTGTCGTTGCATGGATGTCGAGGTGATTACCCCTTGGTGGGCATGTTTGGAATCGCTTGGGGGCCTCGTGGGTTCCCCTCAGGCCGTTCAGGGGGGTCTTTCGGCCATCTTCGATTTCTTGGAGGAGTCGTCGGTGTTCTTGGGGCAGTCGTGGGCCATGTTTGGGCAATCTTGGGGTCGTCTTTCTCGCACTGTGCTGGAGCCCTTGTGGGCTGGCCTTGTGCCAGCGAAGGGGGGCTGTTTCGGTGGACTCTGGAGGGCGTCCTGGAAAGCCAGGGCGTCGTCTGGGCTGGCCCTCAGGCTGTCTGGAGATCAGCCAGAAGCTCATTTCGTGAATCCTCCTTGGTGGAATTGCAGAGTCGTGTTGGAAGCAGCGTCATGTTCACCATGTTCGGGCAGACGTACGTTGTGATGCTTTGTCATGCTTCTGTCGAGCTGCTTGGCTGTGGTAAGCTCGAAGGGGGTCTCTGCTCCTTCCTCTACCACTGTGTTACCCTCAAACAGTGTTGCATCTGTTCTGTCCAATTGCTGTGGCGCTCCCGTCCTTAATGTTCGTCGTTTCTGCTTCAACCAACTGCGCAACTTGCGCGGGGTGTATCACAGCCGGTCGCACATAATCTCCAGACACCCACGGCCGCCCGCCGACCACCGCCGACAGTCCAGAGCAACAGCAATACACGAAACCGAACGTATACCTGAAGAACCACCCTTCGATCCCATTATTCCATTTGCAATGCAATCATAATTGATTGCAGAGGGCACCCGTGAGGAAACAACAGTCTCATCTGAGGGCAGACCATGACCTAGACATGGAGACGCTATGACCCGTGGTGGAATTTTTCAGGAGCGACCTACTGGACAGACTCGACTGATGTTTGGCCTCGTGCGCTGCGTTCTCCTGAAGAGGTTCGGAAGCAACTCCTGAGAGGTCTTCGAAATAGAAATTGAAGGCTTCTAAGCTCGATTCGGAGGCCACTGTGCCCGACTATGCAGGCTTAGTAAGCCAATGTGCGCATGCTTATCAGCCGGACTAGGCCACATTAGGCTGGGTTGGGCCGCTTTTTGACCAATGCTATACCAGCGCCGAGGCTGAACTTCACCTCCCAGGAGATGCATCCTGAAAGAGGCCCTCGGAGGAGACCCAGACAACGAGCCTCCCACCGAGAAGCGCCCGAGCCCAATGTGTACCCAAATTGGCCAAATCGGCGGCACGGGCCGCGGGCCCCTTCACTCTGCAACACGACGGGGGGGGCGGCTGACTTTCACAGCAGCGCTCTCAGCTGAGCTGTCTTCACGATTGATGTTCGTAATGCTCCTCGTGCACTTCCCTACGATGTCCAAGCGCCCGCACGCGAACATATCGCACGATCCGCGCTCATACGACATGTTGCACGGATGGAGCACGGCCCGTTGTCAAAAACGCGCTCGCACCATGTCACTGCGTAGCATGTTATTACATATTTCTGTCGGCTATAGAGATGGAGGAGCGTACTTTCCTCCTGCACATTGTCCACGTATCATTAATCGGTCGAGTGTTCAGGCGACTAACTCTGGCTGTTCCAGTCCTCCTAAGGCTGCTGAGTGTGGCAGGACCGCAAGGGTCTGACACTTCTAGCTTCCCCAATGCCCCAAACCTCCAGGGGATGTATGCAGACCTTTGACGCAAGCGTGTGGTACCCGTGGGCCACAGAGCTCCCGACCACATCCCCACGATGCGGTTTTCGCTATGTTCTGTCTGTTCCTGAGGGGGGTCGCGACGGGCCTCCAAATGCCCCCACCTTGGATGAGCTGGCCGTGGCATGTCTCACGTGGGGGAACCAACACATGTACCGACACTGCTACTTCCCGGACCTCTCCCGGGGAGCGTTCTGACCAGAATCCGCCGACCCCTTGGGGTCACGGCGTGTGAGGTGCTCCCCCCTCCCCGAACCCCTCCCCCAGGAGCCCGGTCCGGCCGGTTTGGAGGTTTAGGACCCAGGAGGGCCCCAGGAGGGCCCCAAGAGGAGGCCCAGAGGGGGAACCCGAATGAAAATTTCGAGCACTCGGCACCGAAAAAACCTAAGGAGGCGCCAATCGGCCCCCAAGAGGCTCCCACGAGGCCCCCGAGAGGCCCAAAAGAGGCTCCTAGAGGCTTCAAAACGGCTCCCAAGAGGCCTCAAAAGTGCTGCCAGGAGAGCCCAGAGAAGCCCAAGAGCAGAGCGGCGATCCGCCAACCGACCCCGACGAAATCCCAAGAAGCTGAAACCCCAAGATTCCCCAGAAATCGTTCCACAAACTCCTTTTGTTCACTCTTACTGCCGCCCCAAGGGGTCGGCGGTGCGGCGTCAGCCAATGAATCTCGAGGCGAATCCAGCGGTGGCGCCGAGTGCCTCCCAGGAGGCCCCAAAAAGGCGCAAACGAGAGAAGGCTAGGGGTAGGGGTAGGGGTAGGGGCATACCTCTTCCTCCTCCGAATGGCACTCTCGTGAGGGCGAACACCTGGACCTCGCTCAGTCCACGGCCGTCGGAACAGGGCCCATTGAGACATCGGCGGCTCGCCCGCCTGGCCCGAATCTGCTCGAACGTCAGCCACCAGACCCCTCCCAGGGTCCACCCTGATCTGGGTGTCGAGGCGGATCCGGCCGTGGCGGCGAGAAGCCCGCAGGAGGCCCCCCAAAGGACGGAAAATGCCAGATAGGGCGGCCGTGGTCTCGACAAGCCCCCCTCCGAGGCCAAGCTCCTGCCATCCCCCCCCCCCCTTCCGAAACCTCTTCGGCCTTTGCGGCAATCTGCCCGAGCCAGGAGGACATCGCCTTCGCCCGGCTCCCGCGGCCCCCGAGTACCTCCTTGGGCCACGCGCCGCTGGCGCGAGCGAGCTGCTACTGCACCCGTCCTCGTCGTCGTCGTCGTCGTCGTCGTCGTCGTCGTCGTGGCCATCCTGGTTGTCGGCGTCTTGTTGCCCCCCCCCTTATTGGTAAAGCTTCGGGTCACACACTGACAGCACCCCCAGGCAGTCCTGGCTGGCCTCAACAGCCGCGCTGAATAGTCCAGGCCCGTCTCAACACCCTGGCGCCGCCTTCAGCGGCGCCCCTGGGGGGGGTGCAAAACCAGATCTGACAGAGGGACGATAGATCATCCGGATTTCCCTACACGATCCCTAGACGATTGCATCAGACGTGATCGCATCTACGGCTTATGCGTGGTAGCAGGACTGATTCAGTTTACCCTCACCGCGCTAGATCTTCGCGTGGCGAAGATGACAACATGTAACACGGGTACGTGAGCATAAAACCGTGCGACATGAACATTGACGCCCGACCCGAAACACGAATTGCAATTCATCCGCCGGTCCCATAAAGAAAACCATGCATACCAGGAGACATGCACATGAACACGTGAATATCGAATCTGGGTGGCAACACGTGTGAACATAAGAAGTGAATGGCAACACGATATCGCCCTTTACCTCACGCTGTCCTGGCGCGCGACGGCACTCGTCAACCGAGTGCCATGATTGGCAATCCAACCGCGATGCATTGCCAGCAGCATCGGAACACAGACAGATCAACTGCAATAACAGCATGCAGACTCTCACCCAACATTGCGCAACACCTCACACGGCCTGAAGATTGCCCCGATAGGCGCTAACAGCATCAAGACCAAAAGGCCCCCCACCCGACTCACACCACGCCATCTCCAAGTCACCCGATGAAGGACAGTGAGGCACGTGAGCGTCACAAGGGACAAATCCACCCCGATGCTCCCAATATTGCTCCATGCGGATTCTCACTGGCCCCTGATTACCAAGATCGCTTCCAAGGCCCTGACTGCCTCAAATGGGACCACCAGAACCACCCGAGCTGCCCACGATAGGCTCAAACAGTCCACAGCCCTTTACGTTCTTCGACGGCGCTTCCAACCTTCGCCTTGATTCAAACAGTGGCACCGTACAGTCGCGGATTGGCGGCAAGGCAGAGGAGGCGCGGTTTCTCAGAAGGCTCAGAAGTCCTTAGTCCTCCTGAGAGGCGTTCTAAGCCTCCCCAAACAGAAGTCTCCCCAAACACAGATACGGCTTGTCAGAAAGCCGGAGGCCGCCTTCTGAGAACGCCTGCCCCCTCTCACTACCCCCTTCGGCACACCGCCGAGTTTGGTCTCCGGGCCAGAGCTCGGGTCCCCAGCGGCCGTTCGGGGCAATCCGGGCGCCCTGTGAACGCTCTCGACGAGCGAGGCGCAGCTGCTGGAAAGCACCCCGAGGCTGGAAAACCGCCGAGAACCCACGAACACGTCAGAAAATGTAGCACTTCCCCCCTCGGCGCGCCGCCGTGTGGAGAACAGTGGCCATCACGCAGCGTCGCCCAACTTACGTACGGCAAGTTCGTGTCGTGCCGATCCCGAAATTGGCTCCTGACACCGCGGGAACCGTTCAACCTTGAACGATCGACCGTTCCCGAGACGTCAGACGATCGGCCAACGTCGCCCGATTCTCGGTCGCTGGCGGCGTTCAACGTTGAACGCCGGCGGCGGGGTCGCCGCCTGCCGACACGGCGCGAGCCCTGGAGGGAAACAATCAGTGAACACCCCCCCCGGCCCCCCAAACTCAAAGTTGGCACGCGCGGTGGAGACTGCGGTCGAGGTGCACCTCATCAGACCCACCGCCAACCCTGAACACTGGGGGGAGGAGGGAGGCGTTCACAGATGAATGCGGCATGAGTGTTCGCTATTTTCTCCGAGGCCCGTAGCCGTGGGCCCCAGAACTCCCGACCACATCCCCAGGATGCGGTCTTCGTTATGTTCTGTCTCTTCCTGAGTCGGCTACACGCAGGGGCCCTGGTAAGAGTGACCTTTGGTGCGGGGCTTTTCGGGGGCCGCGGGGGACCAAACCTTGGCGCGCAAGCCGCTGCTACCGCTTCGTTTCCAGCCATCTGAAGGCCCATCTGTGCCCGCACCAGCAAAGGTCACTCCGGCGAAAGGTCACCCTTACGTCTAGTCGACTGAGGGTCGCGGCGGGCCTTCGGATGCCCCAGGCTTGGATGAGCCGGCCGTGGCATGTCTCGTGTGGGGGAACCAACATGTGCACCGACACCGCCTGTTTCTCCGAGGCCCGCACCACTGCCGTCCGACCAGATCTTCTTGTTGCCCAGGCGGTGGCGTCACCCGGCGGGGGGCGAGCCCCGCCGTCGCGCGGGGCGGCCCGTCGCGAGCACGGGCCGAGGCCACACTCGCGGACGTGCCTCCACGCCTCCAGCCTCCACCGGGCCTCTCCCTCCTCCCTCCCTCCCTGCCTGCTCCTCCCTCCCCTCCTTCAACCTCCTCCCGCCTCCCTTCGTCTCCCTCCCCCGTCGCCGTCCTCCTCCTCCTCCTCCTCCTCCTCCTCCTCCTCCTCGTACCCCTCCTCCTCCTCCTCCTCCTCCTCCTCCTCCTCCTCCTCCTCCTCCTCCTCATCTTCCCTTCCTCCTCCTCCTCCTTGACCTCACCCCTCCCTTGTCCCTCCTCCTCGTCGCTGGGGGCGCACTCAGCGGTAGGACTTCTGGAAGCGAGAGCGCGCTGAGCGGCCGCCAAACTTCTTCGGCTCGCAGCGGCGCGGGTCCGCCACGATCAGTGAGCGGTCGTAGGCCATGAGGATGTCCTCGGCGCGGGGGCAGCAGGCCAGGAGGAGGACGAGGAGGAGAAGGCAGAAGAGGATGTAGGAGGAGGACGACCAGTTCTCGCATATGAAAGCATTCATGTTTCCACGCGCCCACTTCGCGTATGGTGTTGCTGTCGGACCAGTTTGGGAGACGCACCCTCCAGCCAACGGTGGCGTCGAGCACAGGAAATTAGAAACCCTTTCTGGCGCCAAAGTATGGGACGCTTCAGTCTTTGCCATTGTCGCCACTTCGTCTGATCTTAGATTGCCGCCACAGGCTCTACGCCTCTGGATCGACTGGGAAAACGACGATTGGTGCCTCCACAATAGCGCGTTCAGTCTGTTCATGACCGTGAGCGGAAGCTTGGGTGTTGCTTGTTGGGGGGCGATCAAGGGGGGGTGGGGCGAAGAAAGTGCACCTTTCGCGCCTCTTTTGGGACCCAGGGTCCCCTTGAGGGCCCCTTTGGGGTACAAAAGGTGCACACTGAGGCAACGGCCACAAGACCTCCCCAACATCCTGCCGCTCTCCTCATCCTCAGTCCTCCGTGCTGTCCTGTCCCTCCTGCGTGTCACATCATTCCTCGTCGTCCTCATGCGCTTTACCCCAGTTGGGCAATCAGTGCAGCCGAAAGTACACTCGCCCAGTCGAACTTTCGGGGGTCGGCGGGATGGCATAATCCTCGTGAGTTTACCTCTTCGCCTACCGCAAATGTCCTTGATCTCCTTCTTGGAGGCTTCATCGATGTACTTCTGGTAATATGCCACGATGCCCTTTGCAATAGCCTGCCGTTTGTCCGGATATGGAAGCTGCCCCCCCCTCTCCATGAGGCAATCCACGGACAAACGCTGCAAATACCAGCATGGAGGGGAAGGGTGATACATGAGGAGACTGACTTGCAGGACCAGTCAGGAGGAAACAAACAACAAGTATGAGAAAGCAATGAGGACCGACAGGAGAGCGGCTACGGTTTGCATACACACCAGGTCGTAGATCCATCTCGTGCTCTCAGTTCTTGTGTAGCCTCCTGGATACCGCCTGCAACGATGATCTGCATCCGTATCCATCCTGAAAATCGTCCTCCCCCAATTCCTTTTCCTCCTCATTCGTCTCCCCATCTTAGTTTTCCCACAGAAGTCAGAACAACGTTTCGATGTGTTGAACGTCGTTCCGATTTCGACGGTCTGGCGAACGACAGCGTGCGCCGCGCTTAAAAGGCATCCACGATCAAGAAACACATGTGGAACTGGGGCGAGAGTGACACTGTGGCTTTTCGCCCGCGGCTTCGCTTCCGACGGCCCTGGCAAACGACAAAAACGCCTCGAGACCACACATGGAACACAACTACCAGTAAACGTGAGCGTCGCTGAGGCTAAAGCGTTAGTTCGATATGACGCATTCGGTGTGCGCCGCGTCCTATTCCTGCCGCGCATGCTGCAACAATGTTGACAAGTCCTCTACATTGAGACAGAGCACGTCGACATTGTTACCAACCATCCGGTGGTTTTGGGTCCTCGTTTTGAAGAGACAGCGCCCCGCGTCTCACTCCTCCTCCTTCCTCCTCCCCCTCATCCTCCCCCCCCTTCCCCCCTCCTACCCCACTGTGGCACAACCCTCACACGCTTCGTGGCCCCATAGGGAGCTCCACCAAACGCCCAGATGCCAGCGTTCGCACGCGCCCACCGCACCCATTTCGGCACACCCCTCAAACGTTTCGTGCCCCCTCTTGGGAGCCCCACCGAAGGCCCTGGCTCCTGCGTCCGCATGCGCCCACCGCACCCATTTCGGCACACCCCTCGCACGCTTCGTGGCCCCATAGACAGCTCCACCAAGGCCCCGGTGGCTGCATGCGCTTGCGCCTACCGCACCCATTTCGGCACACCCCTTACACGCTTCGTGGCCCCATAAGCAGCTCCACCGAATGCTACAGTGATTGCGTTCGCATGCGCCCACCGCACCCACATCGGCACACCCCGCACACGCTGTGTGGCCCCATGGGGAGCTCCACCGAATACTCCAATGGCTGCGTTCGCATGCGCCCACCGCGCCCATTTCGTTACACCCCTCACACGTTTCGTGGCCCCATAGACAGCTCCACCAAGGCCCCGGTGGCTGCATGCGCTTGCGCCTACCGCACCCATTTCGGCACATCCCTTACACGCTTCGTGGCCCCATAAGCAGCTCCACCGAATGCTACAGTGATTGCGTTCGCATGCGCCCACCGCGCCCACATCGGCACACCCCGCACACGCTGTGTGGCCCCATGGGGAGCTCCACCGAATGCTCCAATGGCTGCGTTCGCATGCGCCCACCGCGCCCATTTCGTTACACCCCTCACACGTTTCGTGGCCCCATAGGGAGCTCCACCGACGGCCCTAGTGGCTGCGCTCGCGTGCGCCCGCCGCACCCGTCTCGGCACACCCTCACACGCTTCACGGCCTCATACAGAGCTCCACCGACGGACACATGTTGGCACATCTCTCACACGTTTCGCGGCCCCATATGGGGCTCCACCGACGGCCCCCGTGGCTGTGTTCGCATGCACCCACCGCATCTATTTCGGCACACCCCTTACGCGGCTCGTGGCCCCACAGGGAATTCCATCAACTGCCTCAGCGGCTGCTTTCGCATGCGCCCACCGCACAAATGTTGGCACACCCCTCACACGTTTCGTGGCCCTACAGGGGGCTCCTCCGAATGCGGTGCATACAACGACGGGGCTTACAACTGCATAAGTTTGATTGATGGGGTGGGCCCCTCTCTGTTTTGAGGACGACCTGGCGAGGGCGAGTCGGATGGCGGGGAAGAGAGAGGACAAGTACGCTGGCGCACCGTCCTCACGAACTGTCTGACGCCTGCGGATCGCTCCAGATGGAATCGTTACTTGATTGTCGTTTTTTTGCATCGCAATCACGCAACCAACATTTCGCCTCCAGGAACCCCGTCGCCAACATTCGATGGACCAGAATAGGCGTGACAAAAGGCGGCCACCGACACGAATGTGACCACGAAGCTCGAAGGCCCAACCGTTCTGGATGAAGGAGGAGGAGGCAGAGGATGAGGACGAGGATGGAGGCCTGTCGAAGCGCGTAGATCTGGGAGGTGTAGCCGCCGCCCTTCACGCGCAGACGGATGTCCACCTCTTCCCGCTCGGGACTCAACCCTGCCTCGCTCGCTCTTCCTTCCGCCTCCCCTCTCCCCCTTATCCTCCCCGACCTCACCGTCCAGCCAGCTTGTCCTCCCCCTCCTCCGCTCTCGACCTCATCCTTCCCCTTCCACTCATCCTCGTCGCCCCCCTCCCCCTCATTTACAATTACTCAGAACTAATACTACTCTCCTCTCTCCCCTGAGTCTGTGGCGGAATGTGTCTCGGAGCGTTCGCCCCCCCCCCCCCCCCTCGCGTATTGTTTCGCTTCCACGCAGGATGTCGGCGAGTCGGGTTTTCGCTTGTGTCTTTTTTCAAACTGCTGCTCTCGCTGAGGCGCTGGCCTTATTTTCGGGCTACCGCTCGTTCCGAATCGTGCTCCCGCTTCAGCGCTGGCCTCATTTCCGCGCTTCCGGTCGTTTCGAATCGTGCTCCCGCTGCAGCGCTGGCGTCATATTTTCCAGCGCCATGCCACGACGTGGTTTTCGGTCCTCCCAAAAGGCCACCAGATCTTTACGGTCCAGCCAAATGGCCCTCAAATCTACAAAGTGCCCCCCCCCCCCCCCGAAAAAAACCATCGAAAGTAATTACACGTTTGGTGTCGATTCTTGGATTTGTTGCGCCGCAAAAGCCCCCCACTTTGGGGCGTCGCCGCGCCATGCTATGTCAGGCTACGCGTCCTCATTTCCGCGTTTCCGCGCTTGGTTTGTTTTTCAAAATGCTGCTCTCGCTGAAGCACTGGCCTCATTTTAGGGCTACCGCTCGTTCCGAATTCGGCTCCCGCTGCAGCGCTGGCCTCATTTCCGCGCTTCCAGTCGTTCCGAATCGTGCTCCCGCTGCAGCGCTGGCGTCATTATTTCCAGTGCCATGCCACGGCATGGTGTTCGGTCCTTCCAAACAGGCCCCAAAATCTAAATAATGGCCTCCCGAAGAAGCCACTGGAAGTGATTCCACATTCGGTGTCGATTCATTGATTTGTTGGGCCGCAGAAGCCCCCCCTCTCCATTTGGGGGAGTCGCCACGCCATGCTATGTCATGCTACGCGTTAATCTTCAACACTATGCTATGCCATGTAATGCTACGCCATGCTGCGACATCCGATTGTGCTAATAGGGAGGATATCTGCGCCATGTTAAGGGATGGGAGAGAGAGGTAGGACGTCAAATACAACGCGAGCGCACCTAGCTTGTCTTTCCCCCCTCCCCTTTCCCCCCCTCCCCCTCCCCCTCCCATGCTACCCCCTCCCATCCATACACTTCTCGTGAGTCCCACGTCTCGTTCTCCAGTGGGGTGAGGAGAGACCTTGGCGTGGGCGACGGGTCGCCGCGCGCGGTCTTGGCAGGAGGGGAGGGATCCCGCAGGAACTCCTCCCGCCCCCCAGTCGCGGTGGCCCGAAGGCCCACGGGCGGAGGCGCACGACGGGGGGGTGCGGCCTGGGGGACAAACCTGGCTAATGAAGGGGCCCCGGGACACACAAATAAATAGACACGAATAAGCGGATTCCGAACGACACCCGCCCCCAAGAGCGCAACATGGGCAACGAACACACAGACAAAAACCAGCGATGCCATATCACGGGCCGGCGGAATGAGCGAAGCGATTCAATAAATAGACACGAATAAGCGGATTCCCCACATTCTGCCATATTCCCTTGGTTTTTCTGTCTTCCCCCCCACTTCCCATTGTTTCCCTTATTTTCTGCGGAATCGACGATGGATGATGCCTGCGTGTTTTTTCCCTCCTGAGCTAAGCGGCCCTCGGGCAAACAAGGCTCCCTCGTCCCGGCAGCCTTTGCTCCAGCGGATGCCCCAGGGTCTGGGCAGCCTTGCCTCGTCTGGGAGGAGGAGGAGGAGCAGGAGGAGGAGGAGGAGGAGGAGGAGGAGGAGGAGGAGGAGGAGCAGGATGCCCCAGGTCTGGGCAGCCCTGCGTCGCCTGGGGGCCCATGCAGGCCCCAGGGCGGGCTGCCGAGCCCAGAGCCTTGCGGGACAACAGGGACAGGAGCACGCGTCCTCGATCTCGGGCCGCTGTGCCACCCCCATTCCTCCTCCCTCCTCCTCTGCTCCTCCTCCTCCTCCTCCTCCTCCTCCTCCTCCCGTCCCGTCGTTTTCGTCATCTTCATCCTCCCCTCCATCATCTCCCATCCCTTCATCCTCCTCTGTCACTGTGCTATCCCCTCATCACCCATCCATTCCTTCCATCCTCCCCTCCTCATCCTCATCGTCCTCCTGCCTCCCCCGTTCCGATGACCTCCCCGAGGACTCGTCCCTGTTGGCGCCTTCCTGTAGTGCCGCCCGCCCGCAGCGAGGTCCCTCCCTCGCGCATTGTTCTTTCTCAAGTTTTTTTGTCCGCCGATGCCTCACCAGCGGACCACAGGGTGCGTTGGGCTTCAAGTGGACGTCGCTCGTGGAGTCATTTCCCTCCTTCCTCTCCCCGTCCTCGCCCCACCCAGCCTTAACTCCCCAGTTCCTCTATTCTCCCTCCTCCTCCTCCTCCTCCTCCTCCTCCTCCTCCTCCTCCTCCTCCTCCTCCTCCTCCATGGCCACCAGGTGCAAAAAACGGTCAAACACCTAACGCCGTAATGTGTCGCAACACGACGCTCTTGGGGGTCCCAGATCCCACTCCTCACCGCTCCCCTCCTCGCACATCCCTCCTCTCCCCCTCCTCTTCGGACGCCCAGAACGAGTACGGCAGAAACAGGTGCGATGCCCCACAACAAATGGTGTCCAAAACCAGCGGCGACCGCTGTTGGGCCAGCGGCCTTCTGTCTCAAATGGACAACGCCCTCGGCGGCACCGACAGCGAATCCAGTTCAAAAAATGAACAGAAACTGCTGCCGGTCTTCGCACCCGTTCTTTTCGTACCCACTCCGATTGTGCCGATCCTCCTCCTCCTCCTCCTCCTCATCCTCCTCCTCCTCATCCTCCTACTCCTTCCTCCTCCTCCTCCTCCTCCTCCTCCTCCTCCTCCTCCTCCTCCTCCTCCCCCTCCTCCTTTTTTGGACTTGGAGTCAGGATGATGTGCACGAAGCGCCACCCGCCAGGAAAAGGAACACGAGAAAGGACAAGGGCAGGGGAAAAGCGAAAGAGAACACGCGGAGCATGCGGTGAACCCGGGAGCCTGCCAGGGCAGGGACGGGGTCCCGGCACCCAAGTGGGGCAGGGCGGGCCGAGCCTCGCACCATGTTGCCTCGGGCCCGCTAGGGCTCTGGGCTAGAGAGTTCGCGAGCAAAGTCATTGCCCATGGCTCGCGCGACGTAGGGAACGAGGGGCTCCCAGAAGGCCAAGAAGTCTGGCTCGACCTCCTCCGAATGGGCACCCCAGACCAGAGGCCATCTCCCCTGGAAAGCCCGAAAGAAAACAGAGGCAGCAAGACGGCACATGCCCTGGGGGTGCGCCTTAGCCCTAGAGGTGCGCCACTGCCAATGGCCCTCAAAGCCCGCAAGGGTCACGTGGCCTCGGGGGCCGTGGAAGCACCTCCCGCCCCCCCGAGCAGCCCGCGCTCCCATGCCAAGAGACGGAAGGTGAACCGAGAGAAAGAGAGTAGGCTTCATCGACGGCGCCTCGAAAAAGCATAGGTCGGTGAGGACCCCCTCAACCTCGGGCCGTCCGAGGAGAACCTCCAGCACGTCGAGCTTCCACGCCGAAGGGGCCCCCCGACGGGAGGGAGGAGCAGCGTGCTCCATCACAGCCGGGATTTCGAGGCGGAGGGCGACGAAGAGGAAGAAAACCGTCGGGCGGAGCAGGAAGTTCCCCGCCTCAACCCGCCTGGCTTCCTTGGGGGAGAGGTCGCCAAGGCCCCACGGCAAATCGGGGGAGCGGAGAGGCCAAGGCGGGGGACCCCTACGCACGGTGGCGACGCGGAGGCGGGCCTGGGACCACGTCTCGCACGGAGGGCCAGCCCAGAATCCAGCGACCTTGCCTTCCGCCATGGCGCGACACCAAAAACGGATCGTCTCAGGTCTCGAAACATCGCCGCGGCTGGGGTCGTTAGCAACGTCAAGGCTGATCACCCACGCAGAGACAGGAGAGGACTCGGCAACCCTCTCAAACTCGTGTTGGATGTCGAAATCGCGTCGGGCCCCAGCGAAAACATGTAAGAGGTACATGGTAGGCTGGCCGACTGGCCTGGGAACCTGGCCCGCAAAGGCTCTGTCCTCAGCATCAACTCGAGCCATGGGGAAAGGTTTCCAGGCACGTTTTTCCCTCGGGACCTGGGCAGGAGGGCAAATCGAAACCCCAGGGACCCGAAAGGCCGGTTTTTCCGCATAGTGTTCAGGTCTCCCCGCTTTGCGGTTAGCTTTCCTGGCTGCGACGATGGCTTCCTTGTCCTCAGCTAGCTGCTCGGGGGTCTTGGGGGGCATCATGGGCCGCCAGGCCTCTCTGCACCTATGACTCCGAACAGCAAGATTGTCCGAGATGACGCAGGCTGGGGCGCTGCTCTGGTCTTGGAGACTCCATAACAGCGCCAATATGACTCCGTGTACTTCGATGCTAGTACTTGTCCATCTGGAAGGATCCGAAGGAAACGCTGTAGAATCTAAGCTCTTAGCTGATAGATAACCTTGGCATGTGTAGCGATCGCCGATCTGATGCAATACTGTAAAGGCCCATGTACCATTCTCGGGCGATTTGGGGTCGAGAGATCGGTCTAAATATGTCCAGGCCCTCTCGGGCTCGCGGGCATCGGCAGGGCTAGTGTTTGCTAAGGCGCACCTAGTATGCGGATGCAGAATAGTGTCGTTGAAGCGATCCGTAGGCCAAGGCTTGAGCGCCATAGGACAGGAATCCAGGGCCCCTCTGACATCGAGCCAAGAGTCCATCAGGCAACTCCTCGAAGCAACAGGGTGCGGGGCGGCAGCGACGCAGTTCTTTTGGGCCTCGTCCAGCTGCGTGGCGACGAAGGGGCCAGCCCCAAGTGGGTCGGGAAGGGGGGGGATCGGAAGGGTACATGCAATGGCAGTCTCCCCGTCATAATTCTGGGCCCTGTGGGGCTCCCTGTAAAACTGCGGAGGTGCCTGCTTCCCCCGCAGACGCCGCCTCAGGTCCTGTGGTTCCAGCGGCATCGCGCCAGAACCCAAATCATAGTACTCCTGGAAATTCATCTGGGCATGCGGCGGGGGGCCCCCCTGAGTGCCGTGGGTGCTTTTCCCCGCAGCCGCGAAATTACCTATCGAATTGGTATTGGCCCCCCCCTCAGCGTCAGGGTCGGCATGAACCAAAAAGTCAGCCTCTGGCAGGCTGACGGCTGCATTGTTGGCTTCACCCTGGCCCCCTGGGCCCCACGGGGCGCCAAGACGATGCGGGGTTGAGAGCTCCAGGTGGCCAGGCAGGCGCGAGGGGGACTCTTCTTGTCCCTTGAATACCTCAAAATTCGCGGCGGGTGGCTCACTCTGCTCATTGAGATGATGGGGTAGATGTTGATATCCTTCTTCATCGTCGTGTGCCGGCTGGGCGTACGAACAGAAGAAGGTGCCTCCCCACGAGACCGATGAGCGGAAGTTCAGATGTCGTCCTTCATGGTGCCTGGTGCGCACGCCGACTTCCTTGGTGGCTGCCCCAGCGGCCCCCAGTCGAGCGCGTTCTGGCCGTACGCTGGGTCGGCTGGCGATGCGGGGCTGAGACCCGCTGTCTGGTGGCGCTCCGGCGTTGTTGGTGCTGGAGGCACCTGTGCTGCAACCTGGGTCTCTGGTTGAGTCTGCGATGCTAGCTGAGTCGGAGCGGAGTGGAAACCTGGCGCGTAGACTTCCGGGAGGAATGGCGCCGTGGGCGAACGCCCCGCTGCTATGGCAAAGGCTGGGCTGCGTGCCAGCGTAGGCTCCGACGGTGAAGGCATCTGGCTGGGAACCTCGACCTCCGTGGGAGATGGTACCGCTGGTGGCTGCCCTTGGGCTGCCTGCCCTGGTGGCGAGCTGGGACTCGGCGCTGCTGTTGGCACGGACTGCTCGGTAGGCGAGCTGCGGTGCGGGGGAGCTCTGGGCGGAGAGGTTGGGCATGGTATTCTGGCTGCTTCCGCCTGCTCCTGGAGTTCGCGCTGCTTCTGGAAGAAAGCGTCCGTGGCGGCCTGCACAACTCTGTCCAACCCCTGCAGCTGTGGGCTTATGGTTGGTTGCGAGTCTGCTGGCGGGGTCGGTGCGACCTGCTGGGTCAGAGACGACTGCACGGTGGCCGCCGCCTGGCTCGGTCCCGTTCCCCTTGCTGCCTCCAGTTGGGCGTGCAGCTCCCTGATCGTCGCTGGGTCCTTGTAGCCCCCCGTCTCTGGGGTCGAATGGTCCATCCCAGCGGCCTCTGCTGCCGCAGTGGCGTGGGTCAGCTCGTGCTGGGCTTGGTGGGGGCCTGGCCCTCCAGGGAGTGGGGCTAGCGGGTGCCCTGGCCCCTGGGCTGGGGGCGGCGCTGCAAGGTTCGCCGTTGTAGGCGCTGCTCCCTTCTGATATACTGCCATGGGGGCTACCGCCCCCTCTGGGGTAAACCCCACTGCGCTGGCGTCCTTGCCTTTCCCTTTCGCCGCCATGTAAGCTTGGCCCATCGCCGACTTGGACCTCGCCGGCGTGCCCTGGTGCACTTGCTGGGTCTGCTGAGGCTGGCTGAAAACTTGCTGGGGAGGGAAAGTGCCCTGCGTGATAGTCTGCATCTGCTGGATCAGATGTACTGGAGGCGGTGGCAGGACCGCGCCCGTGACGGGCGGGGGGACTCCAGGGACGCCCTGTATGCATGCCCCCGCGGCTGGCTGCACTAATCCCAGCAGCTGGCTGATTACGCTTTGCTGCATGGCAAGCTGTGCTTGTATCTGAGCCATTTGATTGCCAGGCGCTGCTGGTGGGGGTGGCGGTGGTGCCACATTGTGCGAAGCTGGGCCGTCCGCTGCCTGATGGTCCTGGGCCACGTCGTCGGGCTCTTCGTCCTCGGAGTCTGGGACATCCTCCAGTTCGGCTATGCAGACGTCGGTCTTGGCGAACTCCGTCTCGACCAGTTTTTCTTGCTGCTTGAACTCTTTGATGCTTTCCCGAATCTTGGCAAGTTTCTCATTGTACGTAGTCTTCTTGTCCTTGAGGGCCTGGATCTGGTCCTTGCGCTTCTCGGTGAGTCCCATCAGGAACTTGAGTGCTGCAACTTCTATTAGCTCCTGGTCGCAGGGCTTGTTGGCCCGCCTGGCCGCACAGATGAGGTTGGCAACATCGTATGTGCGGCTCTTGATCTCGTCTTTGTACTGGCGTTGCGCGGCTGGGTCTGTGGGAGGCTTGCCGTAAACCTCGTAGACATTGTGCGCTTCTGCCTCGCTCTTCGGGAGAGGTAGTGTCTTGGCAATGAGCTTCTTCGCCAGGGGTTCGGGCTGGGTAGCCCACCTCGGGGTGGAAGCACTTGCTGCTTGCTGCTGTGGCGGTTGCCCCCGCGATGCAGGGCGTCGTCTCCTTTGGTTGTAGTGGCCATTGCAGCTTCGGCACGTCCAGTGCCGTTCTGATACATGTCGCCCACACGCACAGTGCCAGGTACCAGCCATGTCTTCTGCACAGTCGGACCCGCGCCGTGGTTGTTGGGCGCTGTGGTGACGTTGGAGCAGCTCACGAGCGCTGACCGCCCTCACGAGCAGTCGCGCTTGTCCGCGGGCTCTCCTTTCACGTCGGTGCCAGGCGGGCTCTCTTGACCGAGAACACCGCCAGTGCCGCCTCTCGAATGGCGGCGTGACCGCGGCGATGCCGCAGTGGCCGCGGCTGGGCCGCGGGTGCGCTGCGCCGCCTGCAGGCAGCGCTGCCGCGGGGGTCCGCGGGCTATGGCGCGCGCGGGCCGAGGGCCACGCGTGAGGCCACGGCGGGAAGGGCTGCCCCCCAATCCCCAGGGGCGGCCCTCAGCCGATACGCCTTCCCCTCCTCCTCCTCCTCCTCATCCTCCTCCCCCTTCTCCTCCTCCTCCTCCTCCCCCTCCTCCTCCTCGTCCTCCTCCCTCCCGGACCTTCTTCCACTTGTCGGCCCCGAGGAGCAGCAGCGGCTCGTAGACCTTAACGCGCAGGATGTCCGGCTTCACCGTGGTGATGGGGCAGCCGTTGATGCGGATCTTTCGGGGGGCCCGTGGTGGGGCTGCCGCGGGAGGTGCAGCCGAAAGCGGGCCAGGAAGGCCTGCGGCCCAGAGAACGAGGAGGAGGAGGGGGGGGAGGAGGAGAATGAGGAGGAGGAGGAGGAGGAGGAGGAAGAGGAGGAGGAGAAGGAAGAAGAGGAGGAGGAATATTATTAAGAGGAAGAGGAGGCAGAGGAGGAGGAGGAGGAGGAGAAAGAGAAATGATAGAAATGGAGGATGAGGAGGAGTTGGAGGAGAAGGATCAATGTGAACCCAGGACTCGTCAACGACCTTGGAATACACCCTCCCTCCAAGGTCCCTCATAGGCAGCTGCAACAAATCTTTTCCACCGAAATAAGTGCCCCGTTGGGAGACAACCGTTTCAGAACCCTGAAGCGTGCTGCAACACACTTCTCGGGACTTCGACGCCACGAATCAACCTGAGTGTTACGTATTGACGGTCTTGTCACGCCAGAACATCCATCAGAGGACTTCAGCGCCACGAATAAGCGTAACTGTTGCGCCCTGGTAACCACCCATCGCTGCGAAACGCCGTTTCTGGCAGGTTTACAGTGAAACCGTGAAACTCTTGAATTAAACAAGAATGTCAGCGGCGCTAAGAATAAACCTCCTGCAACCTGTGACAACGAATGTGCACGGCGTTACGGCGAGAACCACATATTGAAAACGACGTGTCCTCAATCCGTGAAACTCTTGCAGATATTTAAGACGAGTGCGCGCGGCGTCAAGATGAGAGCCACATGTTGAAAACGGGCCGCCCTCAATGTGTGAAGCTATTGCATTTAAGGACGACGGGGTGCGGCGAGAGGGCGAGAGCCACAGGTTGAAAGCCATGCGCCCTCCATCTGTGAGGTGGTTGCCAGCTCTTGAAACTCAGGGCCATACGTGACAACGACATCTTAGGTGAAACGCCCAACCCGCCCTTCCGACTGGCCTCGGGGTGCGACAGCAAGCTCGATACAAGGAAAATGGGATGGAGCAGGAGGACGTCGTGGAGAAAGGGTGGGGAGGACGAGGAGGAACGCACTAAGGATGACGCGGGGAAGGAGTCCGCTCGCGCTCGCCCCCTGGGCCAGGCAACCACCCCCTCCGCCGCACGCCGCATGCCCGCGCTGGCCCCCTCAGGGCCCCCCCCCCTCGAGACGAAATTCCGCGCGACATATGGGCGAAACACATGTCCTCCTCCTCCTCCTCCTCCTCCTCCTCCTCCTCCTCCTCGTCCTCCTCCTCCTCTTCTCCCCATCTTCCTTTTCCTCCTCCTCCTCCTCCTCCCCTTCCTCCTCCTCCTCCAGTTCCTTCTCCTCCTCCTCCCCCTCCTCCTCCTCCTCCTCCCACCTCTTCCTCCTCCTCCTCCTCCTCCTCCTCCTCCTCCTCCTCCTCCTCCTCCTCCCCCCCCTCCTTCTCTTCCTCCTCCTCCTCCTCCTCCTCCTCCCCGGAGGCGAGAGCAGTTCTGTTTACTCGCTGCCCCCTCCCTTCCCCTTCCCTCCAATACCATCCGCCTCCCCCTTCCCCTCCACATCCTGCACGGAGATGGCCTGCCTCCTCGGCCCCGATGGCTCCTCCTCTATCCTCTTCTTGTTCCTCTTCCTCCTCCTCCTCCTCCTCCAACTCTGCATCCCTCCATCTCGATGGAAGGGGATCCCTCCAGACCTCCGACGTCGTCATTTCACAGCGCGGATCCCCAAAGGTCTTGACCCCTTTCCCCATGGCCACTCCTTCATCCCGCGCCGTTTTCGACGGTACAAGGGATGGGCCCCCCAAAGCAGCAAAGTATTAGAACTAGCCCGTCGCAATTTTTGTCCATGACGCGAAGACGTGTGGATGGAAGTCGGCGGCGCGCCGAGGGGAGAAGCGAGAGGGTGAAGTCCTTCTGAGAAGGCGGAAGGGCTTCCCAGAAACCCTCTGGCCTTCTGAACGCCCTCTGCGAATGTGGAGAATCCTTCAGGCTCTGGGAATCTTCTGAGCCTCTGGGAAGGCCCACCCCCCCTTGGAGGAAGAGAAAATGACACAAGCAAACACTTTCGGAGCTCCGCGCGTATTTCTTGGATCGGCGCTGGGCCCCCCTCCCTGGCGCGCAGAGCGCGCCAGGGGCGGCGCCGGAGGCGCCGCCAGGGGGCTCCAGCGCCGATCGGAGAAATCCGCGCGGAGCACAGCAATTTGATGCACATGTCTTACGTGTCTTGTTTCATTCTCTGTCCCCCAACCAATGGACGCGCCGCCGAGGAAGGGGACCCCTCTCGCTTCTCATCCACCTCGTGGGAGGACGCCCGAAATAGGTACGAACAAACATGGGCACGATACCCAGCAACAAATGTTGTCCAACACCGACAGCGGCCGCTGTTGGGCAGGCGGCCTCCTGGCCCGAATGGTCGAGGTCCGCGGCGACACCGACAACAAAATCCTGTGCAAAGGAGTGATCAATGACTGACGTCGGTCTCTGTTTGCGGATGCCACGACAATGGACACGCTAACAGTCCTATCATTGAATTCAAAATGCGTTTGGCATGTCGGAAATGTTCCAAACATATTTCCAACATGTATTGTTTTTTTTTAAATGCTTTAGACATCTGGGAATTATTTCGCAACGTGCTTCCTCGCCAGTGATCGTCCTCCACCAGTCTCTGTGGCCATTCTTTCTGTACCCGCTTCGAGTCCTACCGAGACGCGGGCCGCCGTCCGCCCCGGCCCGGGGGCCTGGCCGCCCTTCGACCCCTCCTTCGCCGTGCGCACCAGCGCCACTGCCACCGCCGTCTTCTTGCGCCCGAAGCACTGCACCTGCGCCGCGCCCGCCCTGCTTCGCTGCGCTCCCCCCGTCGCCCTCGCGTCACGAGCCAGGCGTTCGACCAACGGACCCCTCGGGCGGTCCTCGGCGGTCCTCGGCGGTCTTCCAGCAATTCTCGCGGCGGTTCCTGGCGGTCGTCGGCGCTCTCCCGCGGTCTTCGGCGTGGAAACTGGACGCCTGCGTTCGACTCGAACACCGAACATCGTAACAAAAAGCACCGCGGCAAGCGTTTTACGCACTTCGCCCCTGGGGGCCCTCACTGGGCCCCGGTGCTGTCAGACAACTACTCGGGACGAAACGCAAGTCCCCAGGAAGTGGTCCACACCTCTGGGGAGCCACCTGTGCCGCACTCGCTCTGTTCGTCGGCGAGCGAGGGGGGGGAAGAAAAACGGAGAAGGCCTTCTCAGAAGGCGGCAGGACTGCTCAGAAGCCCTCGCACTTTCTGAAAAGTGTTCTGCGTCTTCAGGGGAGGCTTGGGGAACTTCTCAGAAGGTCGGGGGGCATCCGGGTCTTCTGAGAAGGCCTTCTGTGTCTCAGCTTCCCCCCCTCGCTCGCCGCCGATCTGTTCAGGGCACCCCAAATCAGGGCATTGCTAATTAACCAGGACGTGGACAAACCCACCTGGGGAGGACGATGCATGGATAATGTTTCGAACCACGACGGCAGCTTTCTTGGGCGCGCCAACTGTCATGGTTCATCCAGGCTACGAAGCCCTGCTCTGTTCTGCCGCGCCCCCAACCAGGCGGGCAGAGCTCCGTAGAGGTGCCGTGCCCTCCTGCGGAAGGATGCGCGCGCGGAGCCAAGGCTGATCCTCAAACTGCTTGAATGTGCATGGCATCTGCGCCGCCTCCTCCTCCTCCTCCTCCTCCTCCTCCTCCTCCTCCTCCCCCTCCTCCCCCTCCTCCTCCTCCTCCCCCTCCTCCTCCTCCTCCTCCTCCTCCTCCTCCTGCTGGTTCTTGGTTTCTATCGGCCTGAAGGTTCGGTGAACGCGGCCTCCCCCCCCTGGGCCGGTCGGCCCTGGGGGGGGGTGATCAAACCAGGTTGCCAATGTGGCAGTAGGCCAGTGGCTACGGAAAAGACGACGTAAGAGAT